CCCCTCTGCCATGTTCCGTGTTGACAAGATGGGGGAAGGCCTTTGCTGAAGCAGCAGTTATGACTACTTTTATTATCATAGTTCTCATGGTCAGAAAGCAGCTACTAGTCTTTATAAGGTTTTACAGTCTTCTAAAAGGCCAGTTATAAAGTTGCTTTAAAAATGCACAGTGGCTTTGTTCTGAAAGTCTTAAAAGTCTAAGGGTATTCTAGCATTGCTGCATTTATGGCACAGATCCAGATGCTTTTTAATGGAAAGATCCCTTTCCATTAATTTACCCTTCAACCTGCATTTCTAGAAATAAAGCTCAGTTCCCTTGTTTTGCAATACTGTGTTTTACATAGTATTTTTGCTTCTGTAATGACCTTGAGATGACATCGTTTTGCCTGCTACACCTTGTTTCTTCTGATAGTGTGGTTCATTTGTGCATACGCTGGGCAGATGATTATTGTAATAAGGCATGAAGACTTCTACAAGTAATCAGCTAGACAACTGAGAATATAGGTAGTTGGTCATTATGGGAGTATGTATGTCTTATTGATGGATACTGAAGATTTCGGAATCCAATGTGTGAATTGTTTGAAACAACGTAGGTTGCTTGGTATACTGAATTGTAGATGAACTCTTTTCTTTTAAAAACTTCTTTTTCCTCTTCTTTGTGACCACATGAATAGCTTGCATGATTTTTTCTTCAGCAAGGTGTTGAACTATGGTAATACACAATGATTTAGAGATATACACAATGTTAACAGTACAGCCTAAAGCTTCATATTCATTAAAAATAGATCTCTGCACCATGGGATTATCTGATAATATCTATCACAGAATCATAGAAGGTATTGGGCTGGAAGGAACATTTAAAGGTCATCTAGTCCATCCCCCTGCAGTGAGCAGGGACATCTTTAACTACATCATGTTCTGGACCAAATGTAAATGATTTCATTTCTGACTAGTTAGTTAAGGTACACGATGCAGAGTGTTTGTGTTGGCCATATGAGGGACAGCACTAGGCGGTACGTTACAAGGTTTGCCAGGATGAAATTAGAACTACAAAACTAGCCGTTAGGGTAGATTTGCGATAGATTGTACTTTGCGTCATGCAGGCACGGTGCTTTGGATGTAAGTTCGTTAAAACTATCGCATCATGAAACAGCGTGATGACCTAAAGGTAGCTGTGAGACTAGCAGGTATCATGTTTATTTTGCTTTATCATATTGAAAGATCCAATTAAGAAGGCAGGTAGCACTAGCTCAGCTGGAACATTACGAAAGCATAGAGTTCTCAGTATGATTCTCTTTTTAAAAAAAAAATCTATGTGCTTTCCTACTGTGTGCTGGCATGTACACAGTTCTCCCAAGTCACTGCATTTCAGAAATGCTGAATGTACACGTTACTTTGGAGTGTAAGTGAAAATGCCAGTGTTAATGAAATTAGTTTGAACATTTCATAACCTGAGATTTCAGACGATGATGGTTTCCTTTGTAATGGGGCAATCAGCGTAAAGAAATATTACCGTTGGCTGGAGTAGAGGGGTACAGAGGAGCTGACCTAAAAAACCTATGGAGGACTTTCAGATTTCAGATCTTCACTCAGGAAATCAAGAGGAGCAAATATTCCTATAACACAAGAATTGACAACAATCTTTTGACAACAATCTGTGGCTGATCAGGCTTCCAACTGGTAGTGACATGCACTCAGGGCTGTACAGTGCTGTGCTGTAGCAAAATGAAACGTTAAAACCATGACACTTCCTGCCTAACAGAGACCTTACCAAACCAAAGGCATTTGAAAAGTAATGATCACTAAACTAAGACTCCAGCATCAGCCTCCACTTCGTTTATAGGGTTTTTTTCAGCCCTAAGCATGATCTCTTAGCATAGCTCAGTCAGCATATCACCTTTTCCCCACCTCTTTATGAGGAAGCCTCACCAGTTTTCCTTCTCCTCTCTCCACTTGAGAGAATGCTGCCTTCTCCTTCCAGCCCTGCCAAGAAAGCAGTGTGAGTGGTGAGGACCCCATGGCAGTATTCCTGGCTAGACTCAAATAACCCCAGTTCTGACCAGTTCTGACCCCGGTTCTCTGCAGCAATCATAACCTGAGCAAAGTTTCTTCTTTCCTTGTTGCCTTCTGCCGGCATACGAGCATCTGTGCCAGAAGTGCTGCTGTACAGGAACATGGTATGGCAGTGATCCTCAAGCACTGAGGTGTGTCCGTAGTACTGACAAAGCACCATTTTTACTGGCATCGTTTATACTCTGATCTGAGTAAATCAGTTGGAAGAAAAATGCTGCTGGTGGGATCGTGTCTCGGCTGGAAGCTGTGCCAGCACGCACATGCCAGGGAGGGATCAGACCTTTGCACTCTCTTTCAGAGCTTTGTAGGCAGAAGCCTACAGTTGTCCTTGTACTCCGTTGCTCCAAAAGCTGTAGTTGCCACTGTTCACCTCAGCCCTTGCTCGGCTTTGGTGGTGTGTGATGCTTTGCTCAGCTGTCACATCTGGGTGAGTCTGGTAGTAACAGGTTCTCGGGCAGCTGCAGAGCAGAGCTAGGGGCTGACTTTGCTGGGATGCACTGCAGCAAACTTCCTAAAGATTCATTTCTGGAGGATGTTTTACCCCCTTCATCAGTCTTGCAGGAGTAATTGTTTGTTGGGGTTTTTTTCCTTTTGTAAAGCTAAGTATATTTTCAAAGTATATATTCACTCAGCACCCACTTCAGTGTATTTTACTTTAAGTGTACGTCTGCATGCAGAACACTTCAGGGAGGATGTATTTAGATGCCACTAATCCACATCCATGCTGCACTTAACTACATTCTTACTTCCTGGAATAAATTAACTCTAAGCAATAATAAATTTGCTAGTATTTCACTGTTTTCAATGGAGTTTTTTGGCAAAAATATAATTTGTTGAGAGGATCAAAAATGTATTATGTTTATTCTGAGTCTTAGTTCATTGTAGAAGTGACTCTTTTTACTCATTTGAGCTTTTCTTAAATGTTTTGCTCCATTGATTTCTGTAAATAATTGTATTAGCAGTATTTGTAACATTAATATTTCCAAGATTATAGATACACTTCTAAAATATTACTGTATGTTAATTAGGAAGCTGTATGAAATGAGTGAAAAACTCAAACAGCCTTTCTCATGACTAGTGAAGAAAACAAAATTATTTCAGCTAGCTTTCATGAGGAGGGATGTAGTGGCATTATTATTTCCTGAAAAGTGAATCATCATTTGGGTATTTTTGTCCAAGTCACCCTATACACAGCAGTTGTCACTTAGAAAATATGCCAGCCCCACAGTGTTCCACCTAACTTTTGTCTGTTTAATGTGTATCTCTGCATAGGCTAGTTAGCATTTATAAACTCTGAACTCTCAGTCATTCGAATTAAAATAGCAGCTTGTTTGTCTATAGTTGTAGTACAAACAATTTTATGTGCAGTAAAAGCATATATTGTTAAATAACAGCTGTAGGGATGCGTTTCGCAGCTGACAAACCGGCTAGCTTTGTCACTCTCCTCAGTATTTCAGTTGTATTTCCAGTGAATTTTTTTTGTACCTTTCAGATCAACAACAATATGAAGATGACATTGGTGAATCACTGATGCGTAGGGAGGGGGAAAATCTTGGTGCTGCAGCACAAAAAGATTAAGTGAATTGCAGAATGTGTGACAAGGCAAAAATGTCTTTGGTACAGCCAGGAATTCAAATCTACAGGCCAAAACTCGTGTTTCTCTAGAAATTACAAGACTAGAGACAGCTTAAAAGCCTTGGCATACCAGGACTTTGTTTAACTGAATGGGTTATTAAGACTGAGTCAAGTTGCAATTGTGTGTATATGTCTTAAACATTAAAAAAAAATGCAGATATCACTTCTGAAGGGAACTTTTCACTACAGCACAGTCTTTTGTGCAGTGACACAGTCGTAAGAGCTGTCCTCGTTCCAAGACAGGTGTTGGTGAGATTGCAGCTCTGCTCTTTCCTCCTTCGAAAATGCAGACTGCCATGCAGGGCAGTAAGTATTCTTCCAATTCATAAATGGGCTCAAGTTTTTTTCTTGTTATTTAAGTTTAAAGAGACAACTTTTGTCTGTACCGGTCCAAATGAAGTTATTGGAAATTAGCTGAAAAGAGCTGTGCTGAACACTGCCTCCTTCCTGTTTGGAAATCCAGCTAAGAGGTTTTATGAGCTCTCTGCACCGACTCTGCAGCTAAGAGGAAGCAGCAAATAATGATTTCCCATTTCAGTTCACCAATTTAAGCTCTAAAGAGAGGTTTGATGATTAAACTTGAAATTTTTTTCTCACAAGATTAATCCTTACTTTAGAGGGAGTAATTCCATTTATATCAGTAAGATTACTCACGTGAGTAACCAGCTACAGATTTTGGTCGTAGTACTGTGATTGCCTAGGGGGAAATACAAGCAACTCAGCAATTAAAATTACGGAAAGAAAGGGAGGTCTGACCTTTTCTTTGTTCTTCTTTTTTTTTTTTAAGTATATATATACCTACTGTTTCATTGAGTGACAATGCAGCGACTTCATTGACTCACTGAGTGATCACAGCTTTTGCATTCTGAGATGTTTCTAGCAGCAACAAAAAATGTTTTTTCTTTAAAAATAAATACTAAGGGCTAAAGCTTCATTGTGAAAGGTAGAAAGAGAAGGCTCTCTGATTAGAGATTTTAACTTCAAGGCACCTTAGGCTTTCTTTATGTGCATCACATTAGTGGAAAATTCCTTCATTCTTTTAAGAAGATAAACAGTTGTAACTTTCACATTTGGTTGATGTGACATCAATGGCTGGCTGGGACTGCCAGCATTCCGAAAAGGATATCATCCTCATCTGCAGCCACTCAGGGCTGTGGGGTGGAGCCTGCAGCACAAGCTGAAACATTTACAGGTGCATAAGTAGGCAGGGAAGGGCACAGGTGATGCACCTGTCTCGGGAAAGGAGCACTAGCACAGGTGTGTCATAACTTACCAGCTGCCTGTGTTAGAGCATGAGCTCCTTTGATCCACAGACGCACTCTCCACCGCGCTGCAGCCCACAATTTCCAAATATCGGTCAAGAACCTCCGGAGATGAGTATCTATTATGAGAACTTTTTCCACCCGCAGAACATCCCTAGTCCACAGCGACCGAGCACCTTTGAGACAACGGATTACAACGCTACTCCCAACCCTTACCTCTGGCTCAATGGACCTTCCATCACTCAGCCCCCGTACCTGCCAGGATCCAATGCCAGCCCCTTCATTCCTCAGTCGTACGGGATGCAAAGGCAGCTCCTGCCTAACGTGCACGGCTTGGGAGGAACTGACCTTGGCTGGCTTCCCCTTCCATCCCAAGAAGAGCTTATGAAGTTGGTTAGACCACCTTACTCCTACTCTGCACTGATTGCCATGGCTATCCATGGAGCGCCCGACAAGCGGCTGACCCTCAGCCAGATCTACCAGTACGTGGCTGACAACTTCCCCTTCTATAACAAAAGCAAGGCGGGCTGGCAGAACTCCATACGGCACAACTTGTCTCTCAACGACTGCTTCAAGAAGGTGCCTCGAGATGAAGATGATCCAGGTACAGCTCTCCTTCTCCTCTTTTTTCACCCCTCTAATTAATTTTGAAAAATTAAAAAAATGCCAAATACATTATAAAGAGGCGTTAATAGCCTGGATGTAGTACATACACATGGTAGCTCTTCATAGGTCTGAACAAGAAGGCAACTATGCAATGTTGAGATTCGAATCAGTGTTGCTCTTAAATCTCTGCAGGGAAGGGGATTCTTTATTGTTCTTGGTCTTCTTGAGAACTGATCAATGTGCTGAGCGTAAGGCTCAGCAAGCACAGGAGCCAGTCTAACTAAGCAAGTCACATTCAGAACTCCCTTGGTGTAATGCTTATGACTTACGTCAAACTGAAGTGGGAATTAATGGAATGGGGATAAGGCAAACTCAGATTTGTCAAAGAAAATCCAGTACATTTAGGAGAGCAGGCTGCTCTTGTTTCATTGGTTTCTAATAGCATTTTGCTTGGAATCACACCTCTGCTATTTCCAACCCCTTGGCTGATACGCTGTCAGATTGTTCCTTTATTGTTTTCTATCAATAGCTGTTACGAACCATTTGGAACATGTGAAAACCACCTTATTATGCCTTCACAGAGGGCCAAAAAACTGGTTCTATCTTGTAAGAAACCTATTCTACCCCACTGAATCTGGAGGAGCAGCCCAGTATGGGATTTGATTACTCCCTACTGTAAAATCAGAGACCCAGCCTCCTTCCCTCACCAAGAAAACAAACCAGAAAGCCCTCCCAGTGGCTCCACTTGTAGTTCTGCCTGTTGGAATGGTCAGAGCTAAAGGAAACAGCCTAAAACACACTTTCTGAGTTCAAAACTACTGCTTTTGTGTGATGAAAAAACGCACCTGTTTTTTACTCATGCAATTGTTGTTTCTCTGACGTGAAAGAAACATTGTAAAGCCCTGGGTGATTGCTCTTTGCTGTTTCTGTGTGTATTTTTAAACTAAAGTTGTGGGTTTGTCCCCTTTGACAGGAAAAGGGAATTACTGGACCTTGGACCCGAACTGTGAAAAGATGTTTGACAATGGAAACTTTCGCAGGAAGAGGAAAAGGAAGTCTGACCTTGGGGCTAGTGCTGCCACTCTTGTGTCTGAGAAATCAGAGGATAGTGCCCTGACTGGCAGTGCCAAAGATGTAGAGCATCAGGATATCTTGGAAAACTCATCACCTGGGACTGACAACTCACCTGAGAAAGGATCTCCACCTCCATCTTCCAGTAGCCCATGCCTCAGTAACTTCCTCTCCAGTATGACTGCGTATGTTAATGGCTCTAACTCAGGGAGCCGCTCAGTGCCTTTGGGACTCAACTCTGAACCCATTGACAAAATGGGACAGAACATGGTAGGCTTTAATTCCTACTCTCCGCTCTCTAATATCCCCAGCCATGGTGTGGGAGAGTGGTCCAATTCTGTGCCTTCCAGCCACCTTGGCTACAGCAACTCTGTGCTTAACCAGTTTAACACTCATTTTTACAGCAGTATCAGCACAAACAACACCCTGTATTCCAGGGAGGGAACAGAGGTTTAAATGAAGGATTCTAAGACACCAAAGTATAGCTGCTCATGACAGGGAGTGATCTGTGGGTAGGTGACTAGCGCTGGACCCACACTGCCTCCTACCTTCTGACAGCAGCAAACTGGTTACCCATCATACTTAGTCACACTCCACATTCAGCAACTCCACATGAAAAAATCAGGGATCATAACAGCAAGAGTAGCGAAGAGTTCTCCTGAGACACTCTGCTAGTATTCTGCCGACCACGGTCCTCCACAGGCATCCTTGAAAAGCCACTGTTTGCCTTAGGCATGAAGTGTTTTCTGGCATGGTACTAACATTGCTGTGCTTTTAAAGTGCTAATAGAGATGCGGTTAGATCTTTAAGTATCCCCTCTTGCTGATTGATATAGGCTGCATAGCTAGTTCTTATTTCACCAAAGCTATTCTGAGACACTGAAGATCTAGAACAAAAACTCCTGTATAATGAGTACCACTGCCTAATTGGCGAGAGCTGTCTTTGGTTTTCTCGTACTAGCATATACGTTGTCTAAATTTTGATCCTCTTTCAGCCCCAAGGGGAATATGGCTGTGAAGGAACCTAGCATCATCATGGACACCACAGTCTTTTTTAAACTGAAAGGAAGCATAACAAAATATAATGGAACTGTCTTCCGATGGTGCAGCTGCATCTTAATGTTTTCAATTCTAATTACAGGGTCTGGGTCTTTGTTTTTTTTCTTATACATGCAAATCTATTCACCAAAGGAAAATAAGATCTGTCCTAAATATATATATATAAAATAAATAAAATACATGTGTTTTCTAAGAGAAGACATTTTTTCTATTTTAATACTCTACATACATCATTTCTACTGAGTAAAGAATTTGAATATTGAGTGGAGGGGAGGAAGGAGGAAAGGGAAGAAGAAAGCAGGTAGAAAGTTTAACTGTCTCTCCATTTCAATTCCAAAGGCTGGATCTTTCAACATATCAGTGGCAGATACTGTAAAAAGTCCCTGTACTGTTTTGTTGTTGTTGTTTTTTTAATTTTGTAAAATTCCATGCTGTTTGTCCTAGAGTAAATATTAGAAATAATGCTATTTTTCCCACACTCTACTGTAGCCACACAAAAAATTGTCACAATATAAGTGAAGTTTTTTCAAAACAAGACTTGAATCAAGTTCCATGTTTATGTAGAGTAGTACCTCAAACTGGCTAGCCTGTAGCACACATAGACAGCAAGTTTAATTGTTCACATCTAGACACCAGGTTTTGGAATGACAGAAAACATATTAATGTGTTGCAGTAGATACCATTTGGTCTTGATTTCTGTTTTAAAAAACTCTACATGGGTATAGTTTTGTTACGGGCCACCTCAGAAGCATTTTTAATAAAGCATTTGTATAGAAAAATGTGTACCTGTGTGTGTGTACTATATACTACTTATGTCTTTAAAAGTCTCCTTAATAGTTTGACCTAAGCAATTTGCCTGAGGAAAGAGCAGTTTATTAGTGGCAGAAGGTTGGAGACTGAGAATAACATATGTCTTGGCAATCAAAATTTGCATGCCTGAGGAATGTAATTGGCTGGTATTATGCAAAATACTATCACTAAATAAAAATTATCCTAGGAGTTTTCCTGCTAATCATTTAAATTTTCAGAAACCAGACTACTATTTCACATGCCAATTGGACAATATGACTGCGGTTTTTTTCTGCATGTTTATTTATTTGTTTGTTTGTTTCTTTTTATGTTTAACCTTTTCCACTATCAAGGCTGCTCTGACTATTCATAGTTTTGTACCCCCTCTTAGTTCTCACTTGGGAGTTGAAATCTGCCTACACTGCTAACGTTGTGGCTTAAGAAAAACGTAAAATGACTTTCTGGTGGTGTCCTCGTGCCATGACTATAAGCTTTTCTGATGTCAGGCATGTGCTGAGGCTTGAGCTGTAACTCCTGCCCTCAGAATTTTACAGCCCTTCCAAGAATCTCAGCCTGGTAGGTGAGCCATGATATCCCTGCAGCTCAGCAGCTGGCAGCATTTGTTATAGAGACACTTACTTGTGTGACAACTGAGAAATGGATTCAGTCAGAGCTGTTACATCTTGGATTCAGCAGACATAAAACAAACTGCCCAGAAATGTAGTTCCTGTGGAGTATACGGTTCACAAAATGGAAAGGAAACAGATTTCTTGAGTGCTGAAATGGAAAATGTTCCATTGTGGACTTACAGGGCAAAAGAGTGGGTAAAAATGAGATGCAAATTATGCTAAGAAGGATGATGTTGCTAAACAACAGCAGACAGTAAAAAAGCAACTCATTTGGCGCTCAACATTTTGTTCAACTCTCCTGGTTCATAGTCCCAAATAATAAAAGGAAATCCACACAGCTGTGCAAAAGGGTAAGAGCTTGTGCCTCACTGCTTTGCAGATAACGTCAACTGAATGCTACTTTTGGCTTATGCATAATGAGGAAGTGCTGCCAAAATGTCAGTTCTCCACAAAGGTAAGTTTTCCAGTGGGTTCCTCATCACTGAGATTAACCAGCTCCTCCGCACCCATTCAGCTGGTTTGACACATCAGCTTAGTCAAAGCTGCTGTTTAAGGAGGAGTAGAAAGACAATTGCATGTGATGTAATCTTATTTTCTCCTCCAAACAGAAGTACTTTGCAACAAAACAAATTAAGAATGCTTGTGCTCATCTGTATTTTTGTGTTTTTCAGAGAGAATTGGTTTTGATAAGCAGCCACACTGATAACATTCCTGGAGCTACTGCACATCAGGGGAACTGCAGGGAAACTTTACTGCTACTCTTCCATGAGCAGCAGCACTGCTCTGGCAAAGGTAATGCTCCTATTTGTGTATTTTACCAATATGGCAAACATAGGGCTTTTGGAGGGAAAAGTACCTGGTCTTTAAGGGTGGTAGTTTAGCTTTTTTGGTTGTTTTTAAGTATACTATTAAAGAAGCTCTTAAACTAAGACCTGTAACTAAAATATACTTAAAACATTGCTGGACTTTGCAGACTTATAATCTAATTTACAAAGGTATTTACTGACTGATGCTGCCTGAAAAGAGAATTTGGGCTACAAAAACTCTGATTAGTTTTTTCTGCAGAGATTCTCAATTGTTTGCTTCATTCTTAGAGGGTGTTTTGTGTTGAGATGCAGCTCTCTTCCCGTACCACTGTGGGTACTGGGTTCCACGATTCTGCAATCATTTTGTTCCTGATTTAAATGTTGAGTTAACTCTTAAAGGCTGCTCCCATCTTAGCACAAATGCATCCAGCCCTAAAGTGGTCAGAATAGGTTATGACTTGCTTTCCTTCTGCCATATTAAAACTGCAAATATTAGAAGTCTTCAGTGGCAGGCAATGGGTTTTGTCTAATGGTCAATGAGTAATGAGTTTCTAATGAGTGAATTGTACTGTTGCTGAACCCAGAGGGCAGCTTCGCTGTCTTTGACCTCATTAGAAACTCCTTCCCTGGGTTCTTATTCCGTAGTTTTCTGGTTCCGTGTCCTGGGTCTGAAGCAGTGGAGCCTGTGAGTTTTCAGCTCTGGCTCTAGTGCCAGGGAGGGTGTTTAAAACTCAAACCGCGTTAGCAATTTGGTGTTTCACAGCAGAGATCTGGAAAGCCAGGACTCCCTTGTACTACAGCCTTAGGGTTGTTCCACCTTGTCATGGGATCAATTGCAGACCCCAGAGTCCTACAACACAAGGTGCTTCTTCAGCTGACAACACAGAACTTTAAGGGTCCTTCCTGCCTCATCTACAACTCAAAAAATTTAGCGAAGCCTGTTACGCTGTCAACAATGTATTTTGCAATCAACAATCTTTATTTGCAAAACAAACCCAACCAAACAAAAAAGCCCACCTGGCTTAAGCAAAATGAAGCCACAACAAGGTAACTGTGAGACTTGCTCATCTGCCAAATCCAAACCAATTTGTTGATCAGATAAATGCAGGCAGTTTAGGAGAAGAGTACAGAGGAGCAACATTAGATGCAAAGTTTACACTGGTTGTAAGGATACAATGAAGAACTGGTAGTAGTAAGATCTCCTGTATCTCTTGTTACACTCAATATGGTGGAAATGTAATTAATCTACATGGCAATGTACTCAGAGCTTCATACGTATTTTCAAGCTTGTTGTGGAGTTTTCATTGAATTAGGCAAAGTATCAGAAACCACTTTAATTATTTCATTAATGGTAATAGTTTGCTTAAGTTATGAATGTAGAGTTTAATAGTCAATTTGACGCTGCTCCCTCACTGTTTGGGCTGCTTGTGACCTTTCCACCACTGAACAGCCCCTCCTGCAGGTGCTTAGTGCCTTTTGCATCCTGGTACCTCTGCCTGCACAAATGCTTAAGTCATTAAGTTCTTGAACTACGATTCAGTCAGAGTGAGCCAGGCTCAGGAAAACTGCTACTAAGACTTGCTAACATTAACCTAAATAGCTTGTGCTGCATCAGTTTTTGGGTGCTTATGATGTGAGGCAGCATGTCGATCCATCACGCTTTGTGACAGATCGCTGGCTCTCTTTCATCAGTGGTGAGTGACAGCCAGCACGCACTGCCCTGTGAAACTGTTTTGTGAGAGTGGTAATTGCAAACCATGGTTGGGTTCTGTAAACAATGGGAGACTTCTAAATCACTCACCCCCAGAAAATTTCTGCAATGCTGCAGCCTCCCGATTCACTGATGAACACCCTTTCAATGCTCAGTAAATAGTGATATAAATGTCTGATTATTGTTTACTAGTTTTCCGGATGTAGTGTGACCTTCTTAGTTCTTTGATCATATATGAAAAAATACTAGAAAAAGAAACTACAGGATACTGTGCAAAGTATGATAAAGAGTCTGCAAATACCTGTCTTACAATGCAGACAGACTGTAATTCTCTTGCAAAGTGGAAGAAGAGTAGAGCTAGACCACAAGGCTTAAAGATTTGTATTTTACTACATGGTCCTGGAATGCCTGACCCTCCAGATGATAGACTGTTGAGAGCTTAACTGTTACTCCTTGTTCCAAG